CATCGTCTATTTATTTAGTTTAGCCACTGAACTAATGAACTAACTCATGATGCAGGACCCTCTGAACAAAGAAAGGCAATGTCTGCCGAAGGTATGGGGTAAAAGCTTATGGCTGGTAAACTAAATTAATGAAATTCTTTTTTCTTTGTGTTTGGCTAATTATGATGTCTGTCACACTGCTGCATAGATGCCACTTCATCTCCAAGAGTACACCCAAGCCGGCGAAGCTAGGCTTACATGTGACTGAAAAATGTCATTGGGATGTGATCTAAGATAAGAAAAACAGTGCTGTCTGACTATAAGCCTTTTCTCATTAGCATTCTGGCTTTCATCGGTTTCAAAGCATTTGGTATGCACTATGTTTTTCATTTATCTCAGTATCTGTGACTTGCCCTATCAAGTTAGTGACTTTGTGGTATACAAAAGAACTGGCTCGATTCCCAAATCATGGTGTTACATGAACCCAGCAAATGAACTTCTGTCCCTTTTACCATGAGAGCTTCAGTTATGTTAGCACCTCACATGCAGAATTATGTGAGCTTTGCAAACACAGCTTGGACCAATAGCTCTGAAAGTATTGCCTTTTATTTTCAAAACTCTTAACCAACAAGAACATTAACCATTTCCTTAAGATAAAGCACCACTTTATGCTGTAGTCAAGGGACAAGCTATTTTAATAATCAGTTTTAATTAGGCAAAAGATTAATCAAGGTTCGTTTCTGAGGAAATCTCAAAGGACATATAGAGATTACTTCTGGTTATTACTCTCCAGAAGTGAGTGCTATGTTACATGCTAAATGAGAGCAAATATGAGCGGAAGGGTCTTCTGTTCTCTCCAGATTATGACTTGAAACTCCGCACACAGACACACAAACACACACACAGACACACACACACACTATATATATACATATATCAAAGAGAAGACAGAAAAGCTCAAATTCAGACCTAATTTTGGCTCCCTTGTATCCCTGCCAGGTATTACAGGGGAGTAAAGAAAGGACTGAGTGCAATCCTAGCAGATGTGCTTGTATTTCAGGATATCTTATCACTCCTGGCCAAACAGGGCTATTATAAACTAATCCTGCCGTTCTTATATTTTTAATGAGAAAGATTTTGTTTGGTCAGCAACTCCATCTTGCCTTACTGACTTTACCATCTATACTTGTCTCCCTTATCTCAGTAAAATGGAGAACTGTTCATATTTAGCGTGTTAAAGCACAGTGGTCTTCTTCTTCCTTGTGTTTTCTGTCACTTACATACACAATGAGTCTTTAAACCTTATTGATTTAGCCTCATTGTCAAGATTCGGGGTCCCAGGGATGCTGGGATAACTCTTAGGGTTTCCTGAATGCTATATACTGAGTTCATCTCCTTCCCTATTACACAGAAACTCACAGCTTTGTCTTGTTTTCCAAGAGAAAGCTGGTCTGAATCTAGTCCAGTCTGTGTGGCTTTCAAGTGTCATGAAAAATCTTCAGTGACCTCCCTCTGCACCTGCAAGAAGATCACTATCAAAACAACAACTAAATGATTTAAAATGAGTACTGGTACGGTTTTGCTAAATGGATGCTATATTATACTGTTCTCTAATTTCATATTGCTATGCCCACATATTAGGGCTGTTCCCAGATCTCATTAGAGAAGACCATATTATTGCAGTAGCTGGTAGTTAAGACAGAAACTCACAGCTGCTCAAAAGGCATAGAATAAATATCAGTAGAGCGCTCAGCAACAAAAGGGACCTTTGTATATTACCACCACCAAGGCTCAGAGACCATCACTAAAGAGGAACAAAAAGACTGTAGGAGTCAGTGACTGGGGAAGACCAAAGTGAAGTATGTCTTTAGGACATAACAGGACCACTGTACTCATCAAGTCACCGCCCCTGTGACTACCTGCAGAAGACCTGCACAAGATAAGGCCAGTCGATAGGCTGCCACGGAATAGGAAAGATTTCATACGTCTCTGCCACTAACAGAGGAGCTATGGACAGATGATGCTTTGGAGTTAGGAACAGTCACTTTTTATGAAGGTGTAGCTCTTGGTAGGTACAGTAAGTCCAGTGGATGGCCCATACCCAGGATTTATGGGCAGCATGCATTGTACTGGATGAACTGTTTCAAGAAAAAGGAAATTCAATTGTGGGGAAGGACAGTGTATGGAAGAAGTAAATGGAGTAGTTGGAGGTGGGGGGGTGAATGTTACCAAAGAATATTGTATGAAATTCCCAAGGAATTAATAAAAATATTTATAAATATGTTGGCCTTCCTCTGTCCTCCAAGGAATATTGAGGTATTTCGATTTTGACTGGGGTTGGTTTAAAGCTTTCTCCTGGCTGAAGGTACTTCAAGGAACCCTGACTTAAATGTCTATGTGTGGATACACACACACACACACACACACACACACACACACACACGTGCATGCCTGCGTGCACACCTCATTTTTTTACTGTGCAGTGAATTTCTAGTTTTTGTGAATCCACTCATTTGCTCTTAATTTCTATTAACTCTAAAAAATTAAATAAACTCAAGGACAAACATGTCAAAATGGCATTTCACAGGTTGTAAAAGACTTTATTCTGTTGCCATGGTTGGATTTGTTGAGTCTCCACTTATTTGTTTGATCATTTATAAAACTTAGGTTAGTTTTAAGGAAAGGTGAAGTTTATTTTTAAGCCAAAGATTGATGACATTAATATTGGTCTTCATTATTTAAAACGTTTCCTGAGAACTATATGTTTACGGCATCCTCATCTATCTGTTTCTCTTTCTTTAAAGAACACAGAGGGCTAAGGAAGGAAGTTGAATTCCCTGACATTTTCCTGTTTGAATTATGCCATGTCTGTTCAACTTAAAGAGTTCAAGATAATATGAATCTCTTACTTCAATTCCATTTTTAATACCGATCTAAGCACTCTAGCTGTGTGCTCTCCTCACTATGGGGAAGGATTATGCCCTGTAATATTTACTTATTCCTCTTTACTCTTTCTGTGGGAAACAATCTCAAATGACCTTCAGTCTGGCTGTCTCTCGGAGAAATTACTTCCACAGGACAGCAACTTTCTAAAAGTAGCACAGTGATAACGAATTTCTACGTTCCTTCAGCTCCTGCTGCATCACACAGCCTTTACCCTCCATGTTTGAGATGCCATGCAGTCTAAGTGTGTCTGCTTTCATCTCTGTTTAAAGTAAAATATATATAACCCCCTCTTTTTTTTACTTATTGTGATTTAAACCCTACCACTACCTTGCATTATGACATATATGTGGCAAGAATGAAAGGCTAGTGACCTAGAAGAGTGTTCTGAAACAGAAAGCAATAAAAATTGGGGGGCTATCTACATATGAATAACTTCTGAATATATATAGAAAATGATTCGATATTCTAAATTTTCATCAGAAGACAAAACTTCTAATGAGAGTATACACACACACACACACACATATATATATATATAATGTATTGTTTTAAATATGTATGTCTTACTATTCTAGAAATTTCCACGAATACTGGTTAACCGGAGTAACATAAATGCTATTTATTTGAAGTACTACTCTATACACAAATTAAGTCAAATTCATTTTGAAATTTCCACAACCATTTTCACATTGTATTATAAGTGAAAATGTGCTTAATTCAGAGCATGTCTTCTCTGAAAGAGTGACAGCGAAACAGGAAGAATGTGTACTCCACAGTGTCCTTGAATCTTTGCAACACACTGGACTCACTCCTACACGTCTCTTGCTGTGGACACCATCGCCACCACGGCCCCACTCACACCCACCAAGGAAGAAACGATAATTTGAATGGACACGTTGGTGAGCATTGATGGAACGGGGTGACAGAGGCCACAAAGCCACTGTGAGCACCACGTTCCCTATACCCTTCCCTCTCCTCATGTGCTCACGAGAGCTGAAGACCTGGGACTAACTCTCTCTCACGGGTCTTTAGAACGTGAAATGGATTTATGATGCTTTGCTCAAGCACTCTATTCCATGTTGTCACAACAGGGCTGAAACAGTAAATACAACTAATACAGCAGTGTTTGCTTCCCTTTGGCATTTTACCCCTTAAAAAAAAAAAAAAAAAAAAAACTATAGGGTAAGCCAGGTAGCTAGCTCAACTTAAAATTCTAACTCAACTTAAAATTCATTGTTTTCAACCAGATATTTCCCAGGACTTCTCACATTGTAGCACACAAAGTTCTGAATGTTATGAACCCCCCCCCCCCCCCCCGCCGGAATTATAGGAATACTACCCTATGGAGGTTTGTGAGAAAAAAAAAAGAAAATTTATAGTAGACAGTATTGGGGAAAATGGTATTTAATTTTACGGAAACACTATATAGTGTTCTTCAATGGAGTTTTATTAGCTGGACTCAATAGAGTTGCCATCTGGGAAGCACGATTTTAAGTACATCCCAACATTTTCATGAGATTACTAGCATTTTCCTGAGGTGTTATGCTTTAAGTGACTATGTTTAATTCCTTTCCACGATGCTTTAATCATAATCTTTACAAAATCTTGTCAGTTCCTATTGACGAGACTTCTTTCCCCTAATCAGCAATGTTCATGCTCATCTTTCATAGGAATTTCACAGTTAGTTAAATGTTTTTGAAAGGTAATTTGAAGTATCAGGCAATAATGCAAGATAGTATTTCTAACTCAACTTAAAATTCTTTTCTTTCTTTGTTTTGGTTTTTCTTTTTCTATTTGGATGACTTCGCAGGTAGTCCAGGATGGCCTGAATATTCACTACACAGCGTAGGCCTTGGACACTGATCTTTCCGTTTTCACCTCCAAATTGTTGGGATGACATGTGTGTGTGTCACAATCATTGGTTTCCATCACAACCATATATTTTAAACAAAATATTTCAAATTAGGATGTGGCTCTACAGCAGAAACATAGGCCACCAGCAAAAGTGGAAGGCAACATGAGCCTCCCATCAGCCCATGCCCTGCCACCCCAGCCCTCTCCCCCGCCGGCCGCACCTTGGGCTGCAACCTGTGCTCCTGAGGCACCTGGTCCACGACCTCCTCTGGCAGCTCCACGTGACCCTTGTCCTCGATGAGCAGTGGCGCGCTCTGCCGCTGGCTGCTGAAGGAGATGTCTGGGAGGTAGAGCGCCTCCTGCGCTGCGCTCCGCGTGTCGCAGTGGAGCAGCAAAGGCTGGATGTCTCTCATTGTGCTTGCCACCTGCGGGGACCGCAGGGCGCACCATCAGACCCCTGCTTACTCAGGCCTCAGAAGAGCCCAGTAGGGGGGGGAGGGGGCATCCCCATGGGCACCTCTATTGCAGACTCAGGCTTAGGTCCAACCACCCCAAATCCCACTCAGGCCACTAGGGCGTAGATTATGAACACTGTTCTCCGCCCCATTCCTAGCATGATCATTAAACTAGACATAATTTCAGAAACTGAATGAGCTAGTTACCTACAAAATATAAAGGCCCTCTCCATTTTAATAGTCTCATAAATTTAAATTCAAACTATGGGCACTAATATACACAAGTATGAGTTAGATATTTGCTACCAAACTCATAGGGTTTTTTTTACATTAAAATATTGGCAATATAAAGGGATTTTGGTTTTGTTATTTTTGGGTTGTTTTGTTTTGTTTTATTTTTTTCTGGTTCAGAGTTAAATGATTATTTTGTATTTCTTTATATGTTTTATTTGGGGTCATTTTGCTAACATTTTTAAAAGATAACTATATTAAGAGCTATGATGGACATTAATGTGATAAGATATACATACATTTTTGCCACTTATATACACAGTGATTTTTTTACTGACAAATGTTGCATATTACATAAATGAATAAATATGGAAGACCAAGACAATAATGGTAAAATAAAATTATACACATATGATATTTTAAAAACTTGACACAACAATCATATATTATATGCTATGAAAAAGTACAGATATCTAAGTACATAATTTCTTTATGATGCATTGATAAGCAAGATACATAATTCTCTACACTAACTGCAATTAATTTACTCAATAAGAAAGATAATAAAATCTACCTGTCAATAGAAAGCATTTACAAAGGAAACCATTATTTTCAGTGCATACATTTTTAATTGTTACAGCTGCATGTTTAAAGGCTTATTGTTACTCTATATGGTTGATATTAAACAATGAAGAAAAAACAAAGAAAAGCAACCAAGAAAAGGCATTTTGCAACAATCATCTTACACAAGGTTATATAGTAGTATTCTGATATCTAGATATTTGTATTATTTGTAAATTAAGAACAGAATCAGATCACTCCATGACACAAAATGATAAAACCTTACAGAAAAAAAAATAAAGTAATATTAAAAAAAAAACAGAAAATCCACCTGATGGAAAATTCTAAATTTAATCTTTTATACTGCTATAAAATACTTCACATTTAAACAGCATAATATACCATCATTAATATATATACCAAGACAGTTCAAACACCATTCTGATCAGCTACATAAATTGAATGTGTCAAAAAGCATTTTTCAAATTTCTCAAAGTCCTCTTCTCTATACCCCTAGTAACAATGAATCTAACTGTACATATTTTATGGAATTACTTACAAATACTTGTCTCTGAAAAACTTTACAACCATTCAGTGCCAAGACACATGGGAAAGTGTGTTATGTAAGATGCCTCGCAAAAAGATGGTGAAAAATTTTATTCTTTACCAAGTTGACCTGCCAGCTCAGTTAGAATGATGGGATTTGAGCTTATTTGATTTTACTCATACAACTTGTAAGTACAGAGAGTTCTATCAAGTATCCATTCCTCTTTAAGGTATAGAGGAGTATGGTGGACAAAGCAGACTACAGGGGTTGTGCATATGAACAACTCACCTCACTGGGGCCATTGAGACATAACACACAAAGAAGAATGTCCTATAGATAGATATATGATCAGTCCTCAGAAAACAAGAATGGGGTAAGCTATAAAAAGGGCTTATTTAAATCTTTAAGGAAGACTCTCATGGGGTCAAACTCAAACCAAGATTTGTTTTCTAAGATCTGAACTTAGGAAAAAAATCATATCAAAGTATGACAAAAGTCATACAAATGAGAAGCATAAAGTACTTGGGGCTATGGCAGAGGTCTCCTGTATGGAATAGCTCTGAACTGTTCAGGAGTTAGCACAGCTGGCTCATGCAGATAGAAGTCAAGAAGAACAGTTTGGAATGCTGGAGAATAAACTACAGTCAGATGGGGACTCTGTATGTCACAGTCATTAAAAAGTTTCCGTCTAGGATAATTTATTGGGTGGAAAAAGAATGACATGGCAGGGAAAGATATAAACAACAAAACAAAGAAAACCCAGGGATTCCTCTGAGGTAGCAATCAAAGGTTTGCAAAGATAAAATTACTAAAAGGCTAATTCTAGAGCAAGCAGAAAATGACAGCTGTTCGAAATGTACATGCAATAGACAGCAGGTGACAAATGCCTCCGTGCCTGGATGTCTCTGAACATCCTCTCCACGTGAAACAAAGAACATAGTCCAGGACAAGCAAGCAGCAATGAGGAATCTCATGGAAGCTCATTAGTACAAGAGAAGAACATGATTTCATGGACAGAGTCCAAAGAACAAAAAATGAACAGGAAGTTAAATTAATATGACTCTTAAGTTGGAGGAACTGAGACTTGGGTGTGCTCGATTCGATATAGTTCACACTCCCTTAAATTCACTGTGCTTGAGAGTCACCGAAGAGTGGCAGCAAAGCCCCAAATTTTATTTTTTATCTTAAAGTATATTGCACATACTATGATTAAGATGTTGTGAGCTTCCAAGGATATATATGCTTCAGTTGTAAGCATACATCCAATTTGTGCTCCTCAGACCTATTGTAGGATCTAATCATCAAAATAAAGCCACAATCAACAGTCTAGTAAACCCCAGGACTCCTACACATATAAAGATTCTTTAACTCACATGCTAGTAATAACCCTTGCTAAAAGAATTCATGGGAAGAAGCCATAATTAGAAGCTTATGCTGTCCTTGGGACACAACTGTATTTGAAGCAGAGAGATTCTTTCTGTCAAATAAGAAGATATCTATACTGACACTCTCCACCCAGTTTTATAAATTCTATACATGGCTAGAAGAAACCCTCTCAGTTTCCCTTCGAAGCTAAGCTTCTTTGCATACTTGAAGACATGCTTCGCATTCTTGGTGTCTTTTTTTTGGTCTGGATTCTTAAAGAGAACATTTTCAAAGTCATAATGAAAAACATGGCCAACATGTGACATTAACAGGTTTGGACCTCAGCAATCTTCTCATTTAGACTTCTCATCGAGACTATAGTGTCTGACACTCTTATAAAAAATTCCAATACAGTTACACGATAATGCTCCTTCTAGAAAAGGCAATAAAGATCAACTAAGTGTGCCATGTTTGTTCTGTAAACTTCACAGATACAGCAATTTCACTTTAATTATTAAAACGTCAGATATCTGATAAGGAGTCATTGGTACAAAATGGTGCATCTGCTGTTTTCAAGTAAGTATGAATTGCTGCAGACATGGTTGATATTTAATATTCATTATAAGCAACTTTTTCTGGCTGTATCTCACTTCTTAGGCAGAGGCTTTCATAATTTTAGGAATTTGATTCTGCTTTCCTAGTTAATAATCTCCAGATAGTACATAGTGAAGATATGAAATTTAGTAGTGTGCAACACATTGGGTTTATGAAATTACTTATGCTCAATCAAAGGACAACTCCATATGAAAATTTCATGGTGCTGTATAGAGACAAAAAACAGAAGAAATGAAAGGAAATGAAATGTATAAGAAATAAAATGTTTTTATAGCACTGCCAGCATTTCTATATTATATATAGATTATACAATTGAAATAATGACAAGAGTTGGCATGGTGTGCAATTCTGTAATATTAGCAACTGAGAGGAGGAATCAGGAAGATTGCAAGTTCATGGAAAGAGCAGACTATATGACAAGAATCTTTTCCAAAATAATAGTAAAAAAGGAAAGAAAGGACGAAATAAAAGAAGGAAGAAAGCACTGACAGAGGGATCTATAAACAGAAAATATGAGTACTCATTGTAACACACTTTTAGAAATCAACATTGACTTGCAAAATACATAGAAGGAACACTATGCAGCCTGAGCAGTTTGGATTTACAAATGTAGGAATGGATATGTATATACATAGCCACAATAGATGAAACAACAATTAGATAAAAAATCTGCCATGAATTTGAGAGGGGGGGCGTATCTGGAAGAGCATGCTGGGAGGAGGAAAGGAGAGGGGGAAATAATATAAGGTGATTTCAAAAATAAAAGAATTAGTAAAAGATTTTCAATATATGTTTGCAAGGAAACTTGATCCTTTCTGCCTTCTTTTCCCTTCAGTCTCATCACCTACTTAGTTGCTTTTAATAAAGAAACATTAGTCATAAAAATGAGCCTGGAACGTGAATAATAGGCTGTAAAGCAAGGGATACACTAGCACTGAGAGGAGTTCAATGGTACGAGTCCATGAGCGATGACCAGGGTTCAAATGAATTACTTTTCTCAAACTAAGGATATTTTATGCAAGTGATTGGTTTCTGGGTTTTAGGTTGCATTTTACAAATCCTTTTACTAGTTAATTAAGCATGATCCATATAGACTTTCAAATGCATGCTAATAAAGCTATCATGGTGACCTGTATACTCATTGTCTCTCATTACCGTCTCTTGGAAGCATCATGTCTGAACTCTTTCTTACACCTGTCTAACCCTCTTCTCAAACTATCTGATTATAGAAAATCTCTCCTCTTCAAGCTTCCTCGAATTCATACTGGATTCTAGTTTCGGTCTTCCTACAAAACCTCAGACTGTTCACTACATATCTGAAAGAATCATCAGAAATCATCATACTTTTCTTCTCAAATTTCATTCACAGCCGGTTTTCATTTGATCTTCAAGATTCAAACCCTGTCCCCCACTAAAGGAGAAGGGTTCTGATTTACGTTGTATGCTAGTCATTCTCAGCACTCTGCTTTCATTCTTTGATTTTTGTAGTCTAACTCAACGGTCTACTAAATGAAGTATCAACATACTATAAAAGTGCCTATAAAGGAAGCCTGTGAGGTCTTGATTCAAATTTTCCTACAATTGACTATTTGATTATATCACAGCATCTGTAGATTGACATTTAGACCAATTTTCCACTTTAAAATTGCCA